TGAAGGGGCCCTCCCCCGCGCGGCCGCCCCTCCCCGCAGAGCCCCAGTGTGCAGACGCGGGAAGCCCGAGGCCCAGCGCACAGGGGGCCGCTGCCGTCCCATCGCCTGTTCCTGAAGGAGGAGCGCCCCCGCTGCGTCCCGCCAGAGGAGCCGCCCCAAGGAGCCCGGGACAGGCCCAGCGCCAGACGCAGGACGGCGCCGTGGCCCCAGGGCTGCCTGCAGCAGGTCCAGGAGGGGCGGGAGTGCTCCCCACGGGACAGCCGGAGCTGGACTCCGCCCCCACGGCTGGCGCAGGGGCCCCCGCCGGCCGGCCTGCGGTCCCCGGAGCTCGGGCCCCGGGTCCCTTCGCGTGCGGGGACTGTCCCAAGAGCTTCCGGTACCAGTCCCAGCTGGTGATCCACCGGCGCTCGCACACGGGCGAGCGCCCCTACCGGTGCCCGAGCTGCCCCAAGGGCTTCATGCAGGCCTCGGACCTGCGCGTGCACCTGCGCATCCACGCGGGGCTGCGGCCCTTCGCCTGCGAGGCCTGCGGCGCGCGCTTCGCCCACCAGTCCACCCTGCAGTGCCACCGCCGGACGCACACGCGCGCCCGCCCCTTCGCCTGCGCGGACTGCGGCGCGCGCTTCAGCCACAAGGGCAACCTGAACGTGCACCGGCGCACGCACTCGGGGGCGCGGCCCTACCGCTGCGGGGCCTGCGGCGCCGCCTTCCGCCAGCTGGGGACGTTCAGCCGGCACCAGAGGACGCACCTGAGCAGGTGAAGCCGGCGCCGCCCACCGCCGTGCCCAGGACTGGGTGCCCAAGGTGTCCGTGCCCCAGGAAAGCGGCCCGCCCGCCTCCCAGTTGTCCTCCGCACTGAAAACCTCGGGGATCCCGGCCGGGAGGAGCCCCAGAGCGCCCCAGACTGCCCTGTCTTCCCGCTGCCCCTCAGCAGTGGGTCTCTGGCTCCGCCCCCCCTGCGGCCTCCCATCACCCCTCCCCCTCTGGCCTGGGCCCCAGCTCTTCCATGAAATAAATAAAAATCTTACAATAAAGGACTAATGTTTGTAACAGTTTATTTTACATCATTTTGTGCCCTTTCCCATCTCAGTTGCAATCCCCGTGGGCTTCCCATCACCAAGTCACCCTGTGCCGTCACCACAGTCCCGTGCGCTTCCCTCCCCCCCTTTTTGATCCCCTTCCCCACTCCACCCCCACAAAATATCTCTGGTCTATAGTTGTTCATTATCATTATTTTCTCGCCTGGTCCATTATACTCCTGCTATGAGCGAAACCATCCGTTATTTTCCCTTTTCTTTCTGGCTGATCTCACTAGCAGGATCCCTTCCCGCTCCATCCAAGTTGCTGCAAAAGACATGCGTTTCTCTTTTTTTGGTTGCTGAGTAATATTCCATTGTCCATTGTGTATAAGCACCACATCTTTTTTCTTTTTTAAAGATTTATTTATTTGTGCATACAGAACTGGGGTACAGGCCAGAGGGTCAGGGGCGGCGAGAGGCTTCCCCAGAGACAGAGTGGGGAGCAGAACAGGCAGATCGACGAAGTCCACTGCTGAGGGGAGCAGCGGGCAGGTCAGGAGAGGTCTGCCGTACCCTGGGGTCACCTCCGGGGCAGGCGGGGATCGAACTCATGTGAAAGTGGCTTAAGCTTCTTAGTGCTGTGCTTTAACCCACTGCACCACCATGGAGGGCCAGCACCACATCTTTTTAATCCAGTCATCTACTTTTGGTACTTTTGGGCGTTTGGGCTGCTTTCATGTCTTTCCAATTGTGAATAAAGCAGCAATAAACATGGGGGTGCAGGTATCTTTTTGAATCAGTGTTTTTGTGTCCTTTGGGTAGACTCCTAGAAGTGGGATTGCTGGGTCGTAGGGAAGCTCCATGTTTAGCAGTTTGAGGAACCTCCAGACAGTTTTCCATAGTGGTTGTACTAGTTTGCATTCCCACCAGCAGTGCAGGAGAGTTCCAGTAAAGGAATAATTAAAAAAAAAATAAAAAGGAATCAGAGGCGCAGAGGGGCTGGGTGGTGGCATGAGCCCCAGGGGTGCCAAGCTTCAGGCAAACAGTCAGGACAATGTGGCATTGCTATGGGGGTGGAAGCCAAGGCCAGGACCTCACGCTGCACCCCTGGGGCGCCATTGCACTCCCCCCTTCTCCTGAGGCCCCAGCAGCTTCGGTTCAGTTCCCGCGCTCAACCAGCTGCCTTGGAACAGCATTGAACAGCGACGTTTTGGGGGTTCTGGGGTGAATGTAGGAGGGGCCCCGGGACTCTCCATGTGCCCTGGAGCACCACCCTAGTATTCAGGAGTGCACCCAAAAAAATGCCACTTTGACACAATTGTCCTGGGAAGTGCAGAAATGGGGTTGTGCCCAGCTCCGTTTCTGCCTGAAGGCGGAGCCTCCAGGCCCCAACCAGGCAGCCCTGGCTGACCGCCCCGCCGGAGGACACTGCCTGCGGCCGCACCCCAGCCCCCTCTGCCCGCACCCTGCGTCCAGGTCCCTGGGAGGCGCGCTGGGGCTGCCCCCACCCACCGTGCACCGACCCACCTGCTCCCGCTCCCAAGTTCTTCATGCAGGGGCTCGGGTCTTTCCCCGGCTGCAGACCCCCGAGCGCCGCAGGTGTGCAGCCGCGGGGCTGGTGTCCCGGCCCACAGGCCTCCCTCCAACCGCTGTGCTCCCGCCCACGGGGCGAGCAGGGCAGGCCCTCGGTGCGGGGCGTCTGGGGCGCCCTACACGCCCGCCCCCCAGGGCCCAAGCCGGTGCCCGCGGCGTCCGTCTGGCTCGCGAGGTGTGTGGGTGACCTGGGTCCCCGCGCCAGCACCCCACAGGACAAGCTCGCTCGGCCGCGCCCCAGCCCCACGGCCTGTCTTCGCAGGGCTCCGCGCTGGCTCAGGGCCCCTGCCGGGGACCAGCTCAGCGCCCCAGGCGCCCCGCTGGCCAGGACTGGTCTGGGTGGGGCCATCCTGGCAGCTCTCAGCTCACCCCGCCCGGTGTCCTCGGGAAAGAGACTGGGCAGCGGCGGCACTGCCCGGCTTCCTCCTCGGCCCGAGCCCGCCAAGACCCAGGCAGTGGAGCAAG